ACTGGCCATATGGCGTACGACCTTTTTTGCTACCTTTGATCACATTGACCAAGTCGCCCACGTCTCTTTAGACGTGTTTTGCCATATATGATTACGTGTTCGTATAACATGTAATCATTTATGATCTTTAAACTTCTCACTCACTTCTTACAGATTGACCAATTTCTCAGATGATTCTACCACACTTCCAACATTAACTCTCATTTTCATCGGAATCCAACCCTTTTAATAAATATTGTAATTATACAAAGGCAACAAATTTTATATTATTATGTGGAGAAAAAAAAAGTAAACAATAAGTTAATTATTAATTTCCAAAAAACAAAAACTATGAATATTTTGTGCTATAAAATTAATTAGTTGGAGTGAATGTATAAAATTTGGTGATGTGAATTGTGGTGCTATTTTCGTTTAAAAAATATACAATTTTTTTTAATTTGACAAACATTTAATTAGTAGTTGAACATAATATTTTATTGATTTTATATTTTTAACTTACAACAATTTTGGTGGCGTTTGGTTTGCTGCCACCGATGATCTGGAACCACCGTTAACCATCTCCATCTAAAACACCATCGATCTGAACTACCACCGTCTACTGACATCTAAACCACTACGGACCACCACTGATCTGAACCACCACCAATCATCGTTGATTTAGTAACATCGTTTGGCTTATGGTTATATTTGCTTTGTGTATTTTATATTGTTTTACATATTAAATAATTATTTTATTAAAATATTTTTAGTTTTTAAAAAAATAAAATTTTCGAAAAAGGACATTTTTTGTCATTTACCAATATTTCATTTTAATTCCAAAGTTACATTATGTGAACCAAACAGACAGATTCTAACTCTTTAACAGATTCCATTTCAATGTATGTCAACCAAACATGTGATCAAACCTTACAACATTCAACTTCAATTCCTTCAAAATCAAATTCTTTTAACAGATTTCATTTTATTAAAAAAACATTTTACGAACCAAACACCAACTTAAAAAACATGTAACCACAACCCATGATTTGACAAAATCTTTACATTTATAGTCCAAGAGTGTTCCATAGTTTTAGAAACAAAGTTATTATATTTTGGCATAATTGTTGTTTTCAATTAATACAGTTTTAAAAGATATATTATGTACCTAAAAAATAAAAATGATTACAAAAATGCCGTTGGAAAAATTATACGGATTTTTCTGTTAAATAACTATAACATTGTGAATTCTACCGACTTTTGTTTAATACAAACAATGTGAATATAATTTTTGATGTGGAACTGTCAAAATAAAGAATCGTGATACAATAAAATTTTATATAGTTTTTAAAAACATTTATGTCGTACTATAAATTGAATTACTATCGATCGAGCCTACATCGAGAACGAAGATTGTTAATTTTAGGTATTAACTGATAAAATTACCACTTAAAATTTCATAGGAAACACAAAGGTTTAAGCTCCTATTTGAACAAAAAAAAACGTTCTTAATATAAAAAACATCTGACTGAATCAGACTTCAGAGATATTAAGAGCTTAATACCAAAAACAAACAGACCCTTAATGTTTTTATTCTATCATGCACCGTCTAATTAAGAAAGTATGGAGTAGCATCAAACACATCCAATACCATTATATTCAAATAGAATCGACCAAAGTCAACTGAAGAACGTTTAAACGAGAAACAATTGAATCAACTGTTAACATTAATTGAGTAACTGTCTTAACCAAAATCGACCATTAACATTAGTTGAGTAACTCATCGCAGCCATTCAGGTGAAATGACTCATCATCCTAAGAAAGTTGAAAAGAACTAGGAGCCTATGATGAATGAAATGAAACGGTCGTGTTATTGTTGGAAGATGAATTATGATCCTAAAAAATAAACACGAGCTACAAATTAAGATCGACTATCAGATCAAGAGTTTTTTCTTTTCACTGCGTTTTCATGGGAACTCTTTTCATCAATCAACCGAATCGTCATAAACCATAAATTATATTGGATAATGAAACGTCTTCATACAAAAAAGTTTTGTCCAATTCAAACATATGTGACGATTTATTTGAATGTTGCAGTTATAAAAACATAAAAGATCTTATAAATTACAAACGAATCTTAAGCTACGGTTTTAAATTACAAGTCAATCGTCGGAGGAAGGGATCAATTTTGAGCGTTTCTACACACCACGATGGTTAAGCTGTAGTTTTTAGCAAGGTTCAAAAATGGCGTGAGACGTGTCGTGGCGGCAAGATCAAGCCTCAAGCCTTGGAAGCCACGACAAGGTTACGGCGATTTTTCAAGGCATCACTTATAACGGAAAATTTTTGTATCATATAAATTATTATACTTATAAATACATATTACCTACTATTACTCAATGAGTCAGTGATATTAAATAACTTAAATTAGGTTATACATTAGAATCTAACAAATAACACATTAAAAGTATAAAAAAAATCAAATATTGCATTGTAAAAACCATGCATTAGGTCATGGCGTCCCATATACATAACATGGCGTGAGACACAAGTCTTAAGTCATGACGTGCCACAACGTCTGCTGCCACGAGCTTTTTCAAACACTGGTTTTTAGACTATAGGGACAAAAACTAGAAAAAAAAATGAAAAAGCACAAGGACCAAAATGTAATGTATTCTTAAAACTAATTATTACCCGATACAATCAAATTATTTTATCGTTTCATTTATTTTATTTTCATTAATTGTACGATTATTTAATGTATAAAATAATGTTTAAACTATGGAAAATATATTTAGATGGCATATTTAATTTAATTTTCTTAACAAATCATTGCATATATTATAGAAAGGTGTACAAGTTCACGAAATTGGTTACAATAAATGCAAAACCTTGGTTAAAAATGACATCCATCACAATCAATTTGAACAAAAAAAGGTGTCATAAGCATTATAATGTTTTTTACCAAATTATTTAATCAAATATTTACATGAATCTAAACGGGTTGGATTCTGGTAAGAAAAAAAGTTATAATGAAAAGCTTAAGAAGAGATCTCCAGTCTTGGATCAATCTTGAATGTCAGTATTAATGAGGTGCACTGAGATACACTAGATCAATTATTTCTAAAACGTAATTAATAAACGGAAATGAGATTAAAAATGATTAAAAGTTCATATCTTTTCTCACAAGATTTTTCGCCAATCTAAACAAAGTAAATGTAGATGAAATGAAAATTGATCAATTTTAACCCGACGACAGGGTCATCCCTAGGGCAGGGTGGGTCAGATGCACACCCAATGTCCACAAGAAAGAAGGGTCCAAATGTTTTTAGTGTATAGTAGTAGTTCAAAAAATTAGTAAATCAAAGATATATAGACATTTCAGTCTCTAATAGGACCCAAAAAGAATTTAGTATTGTATTAATTAATTATATTAGAGGAAAAATATGTAAAAAAAAACTAATTGGCTCTTCATTTTGCTTATTGTTTCCAAGTCTTTTATTTAGTACCAAAGTATAAAACCATTTGCCCATAAAACATTGATGTATTCTTTATCATTCATCTCTCACTGATTCTTTTAATTATTTCATTCACACTGAATTACTTTTGTATTAGAATTAAGTAGATTTTGTTATTAATTAAGAAAACTCTCACATTTAAAAAAAATTATCAACCATATGAGACGGACCAACTTGTATCTATATTTATGATTTCAAAAGTACTTTTCATATACTATTGACTTCTTACTACATAATACTGAATGCATGAATGTTAAATACTCTCACATCTTTAAAACAAGAATAAGATCTCAAACTATAATAAACATGAGCTTTTAATTCTAAGATTGATAATTCCGTAAAAGATTCTTTTAACCTAAAAGTTTAAAATGGTGATGAAAAACATTAACATGATATGAGACAAAAAACCAACCGACTGATATTAATTAATTTACACGAGACAGAAAACCAACCGACTGATATTAATTAATTTATATAGAGTGTTACTCTGAAAAGTTAACATTATGACCCCAAATAATGTCCAATATATTAAAGGTATATTTATAGGTTGTTTTTATGGTAGAACGAATTGACGAAACTATGCAAAAATAATATGGTAGATAACATTAATTTAGAACCAGTTATTGATTGATTTTGTGTCTAGGACTAATTGGAAAACGATTTTATGAATTGTTAGTATTTTCTTGAATTTAATGTTACTGTTAATGATACAAACAATATATTGAAGATTTTTCTGTACATCTCGTCCAGGACCTATAAAATGTCAGGAATGAGCTTGTCCAATGGTTGTGAATAATAGGAGTGATTACATTATTATATAACTAATCCCACGATTATAGATTCGAATATTAGATATATATATATATATATATAAAGAGAGAGAGAGAGTGAGAGAGAGAGAGAGATACTTGAGATCATGTGAGACCAAGGGTTTTTCGTGAGACCCATAAGACCAATTCTCAATCCTTGGATTAGACCTACAATCTGAACATTCATAATCATAAAATTGCCACGAGACTTCTCAATAATCACAAAATTATCATCATGCAACTTTAGACCATTAGACCATTAGCTTATAAAGTTGATTAATGAACATAAATTGGTCTTACGGGTCTCACAAAAAACCTTTGGTCTCACGTGAACTCAACCCTATATATATATATATATATATATATATATATATATATATATGACGATGATTCCTTCATTCTTCATTTTTTAGAGTTATCTTTTTGAACTTATTTCTCTTTCTTTCTCTCTCGATATATGTATACGTGTTTATACTCTCTGTATATGTATGCATCTATATACAATACAAATCAATATACGCATCGAAATACGTGTGTGTGTGTATATATATATATATATATATATAACGAGTTGCATAAATTATTTAGTTAAATTAATTACAAAATTGATTGTGGTTGGAAATCCCACCAAACCTTGATAAAATAACAATGGGTTTGTGTAGTTTAAAAAGAAGAACGACCCTTCCAATCATTAATTGTCTCATTGTTTCTACTGATAATCAAGTGTAAGTCGAGCAATTAAGGCCAATAAATGACTGCTATACTCGACTGTTTCAAACAAGCCTGGACTTCTATTCTTGTAAGTCTCTTTCTCTCCCCCCTCTCTCTCAACACGTAGTGAATTTTGTTTGAACGGAAGTGAAGAGAATTTTAGCTTGTATATATTCGTTTAATCCATTATTCAAGATAGAGCCATCGAAGAGAGAAAATTTGATGACTTTGCTATTTGACGTTATGTGCTACGAAATGGTTTGTTAAATAAAATAAAGATCAATATCATTGAAACAATGAACCAATATATGTTAAAATATTGAAAAGACGAAAACTAAAACCTGATGTTGAATGAGCAGGGAATGTTTACAGGATGTTGTGGCAAGACTAGTGAGACTCCAACGTCCACGACATTGGAGATCAGCACCGGTCCAGATGGTGAAGTAAATGTGACCACCCTTGCTAATCAACCTGATATTAGCAGTGGTGGTGGTGGATCCACGCATGAAACCCCCCTTGAAACTGCGGCAAAAACCAGTGGTGGAACCAGTGACATGCTTGCTGCTAGTATGATCAGCAGCGGTGGTGGTGGCAGTACACATGACACAACCCTTTGAGCCAATCAGTCAGTCGTGTGGAGATGATGGCGTTGTGTGACCATTGTAATGAAAGGTTGTCGAGAATTTGAGGTCAGATAGATCATGTATAGATTGAACCTACAACTAATCGTGTTTTATTTGTTTAAGGAATAATTTTCATCTTTATCCAAATCTCATGTCCCTTGATCATTTCCACCAATCAAACTAAGACACGTATTTACAGAAAGAATACAAAAGCGAATTAAAAATAATGATGTGTTTTATTCTGATTGGTAGAACATAAGATCTGTGGACATGTGAGTATATTCTTGTTTAAGAGTGTTTCTATTTGCACCCCTTTTGGGTCGGTTCGGAGTACTAAAAGTACAAAAAATAAAGTGTGACGTTGATGTACGTAAGAGAAAAATGATAAGAAGGAGGTCAAAACATAAGTAGATGAGAGTTTATTTAGAATCATCGTTTGTTTAATATGTAATTGTATTTGTATTTATATATGGTTGTAAAGTCTTTCTTTATGTATGTATGAATGCACATTGAGAATTGAGAGTATATAACTATCACAAATTGTTGTGTTTTAGAGGTAATAGACATCAATTATAAATTTTATTATTTGCCAGACTCGACATCCGTCAATCAACATATTCGAAATCAAAAAAACCAGGTATATAACAAATATAACGTTAACAAAACCGACAATTTAATGCAAAAAAACGTATCTCTTAATATTCATTTATAAACATTTTTTTATAAAATGATCCCACTAGTCATGTTAATTGGATTACTTATGGGTCATTTACCAAACGGATACTCGAGTAAGCGCTTAACAAGTCACCACTGTCATCGTCATAGTTGCC